AAAAAATGAAAAAAAAAAAAATTGGTAATAATAACAATAATAAAATATCGCGTCGTCCATTCACCGGTACGATTATCGTTTGTCGAAAACGACGTTACACCACGTTACCTTACTACGAAACCGCCGCCGACAATGGGGAACAGATGGAATACCGATTTGATTATCTTTGTAATATTATTACCGTTCGTAACGATATATTTTTATTGTGTCGTTACATTGTATTTCGCTCGGCGGCGCGTTTTCGGCGACGCGAGACGTCGCGCGTAGCCGCCGTACAAATGCCCGTCTCGCGGATCCCGGCACAATAATAACAATAACAATATAATAAATTGTGTTCGGTTGGGATCGGTGCCCGTCCGTTCCGCGCGCACGGACCGACGTGCAATCGCATTGTGCGCGACGAGACGCCCGGGTACCTGCGGCGAACACCCGAAACCGGGTCCTCCTGCGCGACCGCGGTAATTGACCGGAAAAAAAAAACGTAATGTCCGCGGCGTCGTTCGGACGTACGCGCTGCTTGTCGCCGGCCCGTTGCGAGCGACTGGCGACCGGCGGTCCCGCGAACGCGGACGCCCCGGCGACGCTATCAACCGCATTAATGTCAACCGGCTGACGTTAATATTCAATAAACGATAATAACGAAAACAACACGGCGAAAAGGACGATGCGAGGTGGGGGTGGGGGGAGGGAACGTATCGCGCGGACCGCGGCACGCGAATCCGAGGGCTACGGTTGTTGTACGACACCTCGCGCTCTACAATCGATTCGCCCTAAATCCTAATCGGTACGGATTTGCCGTTATTAACAAATCTGTTTAAAATCAGTTGAGGAGTCACTAAAGTTGACACTTAATTCTTAACGCAATAATGTCAAAACCGTCGGACGATATATTGGCAATACTAAGTACCCGTAAATATATTATGAATAATTAGCGCGCGACGATTCGATATTATATTTGTATACAGTACTCGGTTTATCATTCGTTTATTTCGTTTATTATTCCAGTCGTGGTATTATTCTCGAAATAATTAAAATTGTCGAGTTTTTTTTCTTTTTACGCGGTCGACAATACATTTTGCAATTTTTTAATTATCAACGTTTAATGTCAAAATTCGTTGAAAACACAAACGGTTGTGAATTATCAGGTAATTACAAAATGATATGCAGTTTTAAGACATTTCGGGGAATGGCGGGGAGATTCTGATCTCCTAACTCCCCCCCCCTCCGAGTGCGCGTCTGTACAGATATAAATTAAATAAATTACCCGCAGTATTTATGTTGGATTTTTCAAATTTATTTTATTACCGTATTGTTTGCTCAGTTATTGACATTCGTCCTGAAACAGTATAGTGTTCATTCATTGTTTACCGACCCGCGCGTGCACGCACTAATAATTTACTCGTATAATCAGTTATACTAAAAAAACTTGGTAAAAACGCGGGTGACAGACAGACAGTTATAAAAAGTAATTGTTCGCGTGGAAGCTGTGTAGGTTCCGTTTAAAACAATAATGTAAGTACAATCGCCGGATAGTTCGGGCAACTGAATGGTTTAGCGTCGACAGTTTAGCGATTGTTGCGCTGTGCAGTCGACGGCGAACTGTCGGTGTAAATGTCGGTATTCGAAACAGCGAAAATTCAGTTCCCCGAAAGTCGATCGCCGGCAACTTAGTCGACCGTGGAAAAAGTCTCCTAGGCCTGGCTAGTAACGTTACCCTGTGCCGCCACGAGTTTTTGATCGGATTTTTTTTTTTTTGATCCTGAACGTACGGCGAGTACGCCGAGCCGCCCGTCCGCTCGGTAATCGATACGCGCGTGAAATTTTGAGATTTTCCGGTGAAACGAAATCGCTCGCACTGCGTACTGGACAAAAATTGTGTAACGTTATGACGATTTACGCCCGAGTATACCGAGCTGAAAATATCATCTGCGAGCACGGGAAAATCTCAAAAAAACGAGCACCCTATCACTTTGTACAGATGCTCCTCGGAGAGTGTCAGTACGTATAAAGGTTTTTTTAATAATATAACACTATACCGACAGAGCCGAAGGAAATTCCGGAAAACCGATTAGCTCTGTGGCTCGGTCCATTTACTGTTCGACGGCAATTCTACAATATACATCAACGTCAATAATATTGTGGCATTAATGAACGGCTGATTCCGGGGTCGAGTCGCGTGATTAAAATATTTCCCTTCGATAATATTCAGCAGTGATGATGGTGTCTATACGTTTGCACGTTTGGCTGTTACCGTCCACAATATTTCGATAGGTATCGATTTTATGATAAACAGCGGTCCGAGTTATTAAATTATTCCAACGGCGCGCCAGGCTTTATTGAGAAACCGTTATAGTTTCTGCATTATCTACCTAATGAGTTAATTTAATGATATTAAAAGGATAAAAAGGCATTTAAAAACTAAATGAATAATACCTACCTATACTTATTAAAAACCAAAAAAAAAAAAAAGAGCTGATAATTGGGACGAGTGTACCATTGTTGTAGATGAGAAGTCACATACAATTATTTAATTTATACCTATAAGTAACCGTATTATACACCATCGCTAACGAAAAACAATCCGGAGCGAACTTCGGTCAGGTTTTAAATCTATTGGTTATTTTTTAAAAGGCCGTAATATTTGAGATTTTTGTCAAAATTTGATTTCAAAACTTGCATAAAAAATATAAAAATAAATACGCTTCATAGTAAAACCAATAGATCCCTCGCTTTTATTAAGAAATATGAAGAGCACAGAAATGATATTAGTTATTTATTACATAAAGTGTCCTTATAATTTATAATATGTAATATATACAACATGTTACCCTCCTCCTGCATCATTTAGGGAGTTTGTAGGTTTACAAAACTAAAATACACCTGCAATAATGAATGGTTGAATTTCATTATGAAATTTAATTCAATTTTTATCACTTCAATCTGTATACGAAAAATTCCAATTACCGAGTTTAAATTCATCGAATCTATATCCGCTTGAAATGTCCAAATGTAGCGGGAAAATTCAACAAAAATTATAAATCAAAAAAGACAACAACTTTGTACCGATTTCGTCCAAATACTGAAATATTTTATAACGATCTTCTCGCGTGATAAATTTTTAAATGAGAGAGCACACTGTAGATGTATGAAAATTTAGTACTTAGCTATATTATTAATGACAAGTAAACTCGTTATTTGTTTGAGTAATTTTAAAAGACTTTTTTTTATACGCATTGTTTTCACTGAAAAGTCTCTTTTAAATCAACGAATTGTATGCACTTTAATGACATGGGTACTTGGGATTTTTATAGAGCTTTGTTCTTTCATTTTATATCATTTTTTTTCTTTTCTAGTAACAATACATTTGGCAACGCAACATAGATAGGTAGTACTGCAGTAGCTATTCTGATGTATCAATAGAAAACAAAGAAAATTACAGTTTGAAATATAAAGCCAAAAACCTTCGAATTCGCAACGGTATATTTGAACGTTTACCAAAAATTCAAGACACGAAATAATTGAATTCTCAAAAAAAATTATTTTAACGAGAACACGTTTTTAATCATAGATTGATATGACAAAATCGTTTAAACATCGTGTTCATCTATCAAAAGTAGGGCTCATAACAACGAGTCGCGGTCAGGTCGAAATTAAAACGTACAAATATTATAATGTTATAAAAGTTAGACATAATTTGCATCGTAATGTTTATCAGTATCAATTTTATAGGTAGGAACTTGGGAAGATAAAAAGAAAGATATGTACGTGATAAATTTACGAAATGTCTAATCACACATTTAATTTTAATAATTTGACATAATAAATATAATTAATTGATGTACATTAAGTAAAAGAACTAGAATATACACATATATTGAATTTTGTGACTTTTAATTTGTTTCCATGACAGTTCAAAAGTCACTGAGAAAAATCAGGTATTGTCGCCATGGTAAATAATATTTAATTTCGTGATAGTGGTCATGTAATTTCATGAGTAAAGAACAACTTAAATTTTTCATTCAAATAATTGTTTATTAAGAAAGTTAACATAAAAAAAAAAAAAAAAAACTCAACACTGAAAAATGTATAGGTAATAATAGAAATATACAATTTAGTGTAATACAATTAATGAACATTCAGATTTACTTATAAAATAAGTAAGATAGAGGTGTATAATCTTGTAATAGTGGGTAATTTCATGATAGGTAATAAATTCAAAAAAAAAATTGAAGATTCGTACAGAGAAATAATTAATTTTCATATAGTTTTATAAGTATATGGTGGTTAAAACGATTTTTGATGTTATTATATTTAATAAAAGAAACATTATTAAAGATTTGAAGAGAAAAAATTGTGCTTGTCTGCGATCAGGAATCATTAGTCAATTAAAAAATAAAAACTATACCTTAACTATATACTTGATTAAGCATGTATTCTAGTTACGTAATGTTGAATAATAATACAATTGTACCTTTTACACAAGTTTGAAAAAATAAAACTTTACCGAATACTCTAATAGTGATAAGGAATGTATAAACTGATTACAATTATAAACGTACTTCAAGCCATTGGCGTAGTCAGGATTTTTTTAGAGGGTGATATTATTTTGTGTTTAGATGTAAGTTTGTAACTTACTTGTGTGTATGTAACACACATAACTAACGTTATAATTAATAATTATCTATCTGTAACACACTCATTTTTAGAAATTTGATGCGTACTGTAAAAACTATAATTTTTAGCATAATTATATAGTCAAAGGGTGGGGGGGTTGATAAAACACCGAAACGCCCCCCCCCCCGTCTCATACGCCACTGCTTCACGCACTCGACAATTTTATATCAACCGACAGTAGTATTTTGAGTAACATTTGACGTTATTCAGATGATGTTTACTTCAGTGACGTCATTTGGGGAAGGGCAGGAAAGGCATTTGTCTTCCCACCCTTATCATCAGCGGACCTCTATTGTCATATAGCGAACAACATTTTTTTTATTGTACTTTTTTGTTAACATTGATTGCACTTTAGCTTAAACTCCCCACCTACAACAGTGGCTGCACCCGTCCCGTTATTATCCTAGGACAGCTTTTTTTAGAAACGTGTTTATGAAAACTACTGGGAAGTATCACCGGGCGAAAAATTCATATCTTTTAAGGTACTGAACGGATACAAACAGAAGCATTTTACCAACTGAAATCCTTTCCCGAGAAACAAACACACACAAACACGTACACAATTTAAACTGGCAGCTTCTTCGCCGCACACATTTAACGTCTAATAATTGTCGTTTGAAATTCGTACACGTTTAAAATGATCATTTTCCGTCTGAAAGTTCGTATTACTGTTTGTTTGTTCGTTGTGTTTATTTTATTTTATTTTTTTTTTATTTTCTGTCTTTGAGAGTAATGCAAGAGTTGAGTGTATGACGGATTGCCCGCGCCCGCCATTATAGTGGACATTTTACAAAGGTCACATACTTGTAGTATATACACGCGAGAAACAATGTATATTATCCGGGGTGAAAAAAAAAAAATAAAAACATTACACTAAAATATCGTATACCTACGTATACAGTTCATCATGCGGAAACCCGGTGCGGTGTGCGTTATAGAAAAAAAAAAAACCTATCTTCGTCGTGTCGCGATATAGTAAAATATCGGATCCGGATGGTATTATTTTTGTCACTTTTGTTTTTTTTTTTTCGTAGTTGTTTACGTGATTTCGCGCAAACCATTAGACGCGGGCTTTCGTACACCGTATATACTATACGGCCCCGCGGTGAGGGGAGTGACGGAACGGGGATAAAAAGGTACAATATCGTTAACGAATACCGGGAAACGTCTAGATAAAAGTTATTTGATACGTGAAACGCGAATGCGATATGTTATTATAATACATACGACGCGTATACACGGGCATTCGACGTGCTCGTGTCGCGATATAGTAAAATATCGGATCCGGATGGTATTATTTTTGTCACTTTTTTTTTTTTTTTTTTTTGTCTTTTCTTCGCGTATCGGTAATTTATTCTCACTACCTTCGTGATATAATAATAAACGCGCGTGTGTCTATATACACGCACGTGGGCACGGGACGTTTGGACATTTCTCACGGCGCACACAATAATGACGACGATAATAACAACGGTAATATTTCCGCGTCGTATTTCGCGATTGTTTTTTCGCATATTTCTCTGCGTCGTCGTCGCGCGACCGCGGGGCGCCGTTCTCTACGCGCCGCCGCCGTCCGCCGCGGTACCGATTCCGAAAACGTGTTCCGTCCGCAATACGATACAACCCCTGCCGAACCCCCAAAACCGCTCCCCCGCCGCCATCCTTCGCCCGTTCTCCCGGTACGCATGCGCGGTTTTTTTTTTTCTCCTCTCGCGTTCTCGACCGGCCAGCGACGGGACAATGACGCGCGTGCCGCACGCGATTCGGGATCGCGTATTGCACGCGTTTCGTTTATTGCAGTCGAATAGCCTCGTCGAGTAACGTACGCGTCTCGGTCTTTGTACGGCCGCGGCGGCGCTCCCGAAAAAAAAAAAAAAAACGACATTGCATTTCGCGCTCGAACGGGTCCGCCGTCGGCCCGGCGGCGGCGTATCGCGCGGCCACGAACACGATTAGATAAATCACGATTCGCGTCTGCGCTATGCGTTATCGCGTAAACCGCGATAGTCTGCCGTTATTGCGGTCGGGACGCACGGTTTCCCNGTTTCCCCCCCCCCCCCCCCTCCGTCAGCGCCGTGTTTCTGTTACATTAAACAACATTCGGCAAACGGATTTATACGCGTTTGAAATCGACACATACACGCGCGCGCGCGCGCGCAAAAAAATGAAAAAAAAAAAAAAATGCGAAAACCGGTGAACGGGTTTAACAGGGCCGCCCCTACACCGACGGCTCTTAATCGTCAAACGCCGTTTTTGTACCGTCGGAAAATCTTACTGCATTATCGACTACAGCCGTCATAAAGACGAATGGGGACTTTTAAAACCCTCTGCCGTTTTTGCTTTTTCAAATGTGTGTGTATTTTTTTTTTCCCCGAGTGCTGTTTTTAAGCGTTTTTTCGCGTATTTTAAACACGCATAAATCCGCTACCCCCGATTGAAATGTGTCATGTCGAAAAATAAAATCACGATATGTTTTTTTTTCTCTTTGCACACCGACCGGAACATTTATTGTTAGAATATTATTATAATGCGCATACCCCGTATTTGTACGTGCATAATAACACAATAACGTTGGAACAATATTATACTTATAAAAAGTATGACGTCAGCGGTCAGTTATTATTACAGATTTCTATGCAAAAGCCAACGGAAACATAATATAAACTCGATTGGCCGAGTTGAATAAACAAAATAAAAAAAAAGCTTCTGTTCAGAGTTAAAATTGATTGGAAAAAAAAAAAAAAAAAAAAAACTATGTCAAAAACAATATTTGACTAATGTAAAAATGTTCGGTGTTTAGTAAAATTAAATTCAAGCGGATTATCGGCAATACCGAAATTTGTACGCGTATTTGAATAATAAAAAGAAAAACAACGAAATCGTTCGTCTTCAACCCGTTACATCTCTATGAGAATTAATTGTAAAAAAACCCAGTCGAAACAATAAAAACTAATCTGAAATGAAAAAGTTTCAAAACAAAAATACCAAAATCTTGAATATAGACCACGAAGAATAAAGATTTTTTTTTTTTCTTATCGACATACTATAGACAAACTTGTACACCTGAACCATTGTTTTTGTCATACTGAGACACGCGTATCATACCGGTACGGTGTTCTGGTTGCGTTTTTAAGTATAACAGGTGTTGACGGAAAAAATAAGAGAGACCGGCGATTCGCAATCGTGTTTTAATTAAAATATATCGTATCGTATTATGAATTATTTGTAAAATAATTGTACTTGAGCCTCCCCGGCACAAGTTACACAAATAAATCTTCCTATTTACACGCATTAAACACCCGGTAGATAATTTCCCCTTGTTTGTTGTTTACCGAATATTTGTTTGTTGTACGTACGCCGAGTAAATTAATCGCTAATCTTTTTGAAAATTTAGTTTGTATACAGGCGATACATCAATTTATGAATAATTAAACGTTTGTATCGATCAGTAGATTTCCTGTGCAGTTTTCCCCTCCATCCCTGCATGTGCAAAGTATATTATTTCGACGTCTACCATATTATATCGACTAGATTTGTAACGTCGTCACATTGTAATCGAACATGTGTGCAAAATAAAACGCTCGAATAATTTATAAGATGCGTACATGAATTTCAGCTCATCATCGCAGTAGTGGTTTTGTCTATGACCGGTTTTTGTAATATAAATTTCGTTTTTTTTTTTTTTCTAGTCATTATATAGAATTGTTTAATGATAATATTTGGTAATAATATACAATGTATAATATTTGATTTTATTGGCTGACATTTGAAAATTAAAAGTCGACGTAGATATGTCGTTATGTGTTTATGACGGCGTGTTGAGAAAGAGTAAAATTTTGGAGTTGTTGTACGAATACAATTTTTATGATTTCTATAACGATTAGTGGCTGAAAAAAAGTACGAAATCAATTTTACTCGAAATCTTCGTATAGATTATTGCAGGAGTTTGATAAAAAAAAAAAATCCCTTGTATTTTATTTATGTTTGATTTTGGCTGTTAAAATGGTACGACAGAAAAAATACGTCATCTGACAGAAACAGTTTGCGGATAAAATCCTGCGGCCGCATTGATAATCCGCTAACCGGGAAGCGTATTTACAGGCCGTATCCGAGTCCATCACGAGAAGCGTGTAAATACGCAACTCGTCGTGGTTTTTCGTCGATTGGGTTTTAGGTTTACACTCATGACACTCACTTCCTTGGAGCTTTTGGATCAGACTAAGATCAACAGGTAGATTGAGTTTTTCCATTTCCCCTCTGTTTTGTATAAATCCGTGGTGACTTTTCATCGACTAGGCGCAGTAAATTTTCGGTTTAAACTCTTAGGACGCTAACTTCCTTATTGGAATATTATATCAGGTTTGGAACGACATAGCCTACTTGTTATGTTTTGTAAAACCTTGTGCAACTGATGCATAAAATAATATATACCTAACCGCTAAACATGCTTATAGACGATAAAACGTACTCGGTGCCAACTCGGTTACGTTTCGGCTTGTGCCGAATTCAGTTACGTGCTGTATATACGCGACCGGTGAATAAGTATACTTACGCGGTTCATTTATACCACTGATGACAGCCACTCGTCATCGACGTGTCTGGAACCAGATGACGGACGGTCGGGATGAGATTCTCATTGTTATACTATTACATTATAGTATATCCCTCCATGTTTACCCTTTTTACTACCCCGCGGCGGCACTGTTTCCCACTCCCATTCTTTCCCCAACGATTTTGCGGTAATTACACTCCGCCCTTGCAGTACGGTTAGGGTAACCCTAATTGTCGGTTCTCGTCCAATAAACGTACACGGTCCAAAAACAATTAAAACCGGATGTGCCGGTAACCGTATTGTACCTACATAGTAATATTTCGTTTCGTGTTGGCGAGAATGCAAGTCGATATTCGTCACCGTTACCGCGATTACCGGACTACGATAACAGACGGACGTAGACAACTTTATAACCGCTGTTATATTTCGATAAATTTCAAAATATTCGGATAAACATAAGAGATAATTGCTAGAATAGTTATCCAGGCGAAAATAAGAAATAGATAACGATATTTAAATAAATACAATTAATAATCGGGGAAAACTGTCATCGCATTTATTCAGATGAAAAAAAACTGATAATTGTTTTCATAGGCTATCATAAAACGAAATGCAAAAAGTGGTAAAAGTGTACCGGACTGGATGCGCATTGAGCAACACCGTTGAAAAAAAAAAAACAAAAATGTATTATTTGCTATGGATAACGGCTCGGATAATTTATTTCTCATTTATCTAGATAAGATGAAATATAAAAGTGTACCTTAATAGATGATTTATCTTGTCAAATTCATCAAGATAAAACGCGACACTGCAGATATAACGTAAATAATTATTTTCCGCCTGCAAAGACGGATGGCATCGATCGAAACGCGGTGACGACATTTATTTTCATTAACTGGACGCGACAACTGCGACGACTGGAGTCGGGAACGGGCTTAAAATATGCGAAGACACTGCGCTGAAATATTGTTCAAACATTTTTCGCAATATG